ACTCGGGAGGCTGAGGCGGGAGCATCGCTGCGAGTTCGAGGCCAGCCTGGGCTACAAAGCGAGCTCAAGGCCAGCCTCAACTGCACAGCGAGACCCTGTCTCAAAAAGACGCAAAAAAGTAAGAAAAAAAAAAAAAAAAGAAAGACAGAAACTCCCCGGCTCCCACTAGCAAGTCGCAGCGTGGTGCAGTATGTTGAAGTGTACTGTTACTTCTGATAAACTTACGATTTAAAATTCTCCCCCCCCTCCCAATGGCTAGCCTGTAAATGAAAATATGCAAGTGAACAAAATTAAGAAAAATGAAGATGCGAAGAAAAGACTGTCTATTGAAAGAATCTATCAAAAGAAAACGCAGTTGGAACATATATTGCTCCGCCCAGACACCTACATTGGCTCTGTGGAATTAGTGACCCAGGTAAAACCAACTCATTAAATGCAGTTACATCATGGTTGAAATATGTAATTTTTTCAGATTAATTTTCTGTACCTCCTGTACAGAGTGTCACTAGAACTGGCCTATCACTCATATACATATATGGTTTAATTAGTACTTAACCGAAGACTTTCTAGTAATTATGATGAAAAAATACTTCTTTACCTTCTTTCTAGCAAATGTGGGTTTATGATGAAGATATTGGCATTAACTACAGGGAAGTCACTTTTGTTCCTGGTTTGTACAAAATCTTTGATGAGATTCTAGGTGAGTACATTCTTTCACGTAAAAGTCTGTCAGTCAAGTCCTTCATAAGTACCATTCCTACCAAATCCTCTGTAGTCAGAGCTGCTATCATTTTAAACAATTAGTTGGCAAAAGAGGCGGTCTACTAAAATTTTTAGAAGGTGAGTTTTTTCCGAGAAACATTCTATGAACAAAAATCACTCCTTAGGGGCTGGGGATTTAGCTCAGGGGCACAGCACCTGCCTGGCAAGCGTGACCTCGTGAGTTCGATTCCCGGTACCAGAAAAAAGCAAAAAACAAACAAACAAAAAAATCACTCCTTAAAAACTGCTATGGGGAGAAGGTTGGGGATGTAGCTCAGTAGTGGAGTGTTTACATAGCATGTGTGAAACCCTGGGTTAAATCCCTAGCACTGAAACACACACCGTCACACACACAATTGTTATAGGGCTTTGCATGCTGCCACATACCTGTGATTGCAGCACTCTGGGAGGCTGAGGTGGGATTATAAATTCAAGCCCATCCTGGTCACCTTAGCAATTGCCCTGTCTCAAAATAAAAAGAGCTGGAGGTGTAGCTATGCAAAGGTCCCCAGTAGCAAGAAGAAAACAGTCATCGGGGCAGGGAATGTGGCTCAGTGGTAGAGGGCTTGCCCGGGATCCCCCAGACTCTGGCCTCAAACCCTAGCACAAGTGGAAAAAAGCAAGCTTGTTAAGACCACTCCTTTGTTATTTGGGATTTTCTTTCTATATCTTAAAGAGTGTTTTTAAAACACTAATGTGTATTTTATTTTCTTTCAGTTAATGCTGCGGACAACAAACAAAGGGATCCGAAAATGTCTTGTATTAGAGTCACAATTGACCCGTATGTCTCTTGCCTAGTTTTTTGTTATAGCTCACTGTTATTGACAGTTGCATTTACTTTGAGTACTAGTGAAATTGGCTTTTTTACAATGACGGTTTGCAGAGGTGCAGAAAGACAAAATGCGAAAATGAACACCTATGGATATTCACCATCTAGATCCAACAGTTGTCAGGATTTTTCCATATGTGCTTCATCTGTATTTTTTCTGAAATATTTCCAGATAATTCTGATATTATGATATTTAATTTCTACATACTTTTACAACCATTTCCAAATTTCTCCAAGCATCCTGGAGAATGGAGCTTTAACTTTTTCATATGATGCTATTCAAACAACAAACCAGCAGGTGGTGGTAGAGAACAATCTGAGCTAACATCTCAGGTTTTGAATGATGTTCCTTTGTGGATGGTGCCCACTTGTTTCTTTCATGTTAGTCTGATCAGTTAGCACATAAACTATACTTGAGGCTCTTTGGGGGAGCATGTTAATGATGACATATTTGAATTCTCAGGGGTTGATATAATCTTTTTAATTAGCCTTTTTTTTTTTTTTTGTCTTTGAGACAGGGTCTTGCTATGCAGTTCAGGCTGGCCTTGAGCTCACTTTGTAGCCCAGGCTGGTCTCAAACATGCAATGATCCTCCTGCCTCAGCTTCTGAGTGCTGGGCTTACAGGCATGCACTACCACGCCTGGCCCTAATTAGTCTTTTTATAGATAATATTAAGTTCTATTTGGAGTAAGAACCATAGCAAAGCTGGGCATGGTGGCACACACCTGTAACTCTAGAACTCTGAGAGACTGAAGCAGGAAGATCAAAAGTTCCAGCCCAGGGCTGGGGATTTAGCTCAGCGGCAAAGTGTCTGCCTGGCAAGTGCAAGGTCGTGAGTTCGGTTCCTGGTACCGGAGAAAAAACCAAAAAAAAAAAAAAAAAAAGTTCCAGCCCAGCCTGGGCAAGTTATCGACTTCACAAGACCCTGTCTCAAATAAAATGGGCTGAGGATATAGTTCAGTGGTACCTAGAGCACCCTTGGGTTTGTTCCCGTGTACTGCCAAAAAAGAACCAATATGTAAGCCCCATTATAACTTAAAAACATACCTTCTGTGAACTAACCTAAAATGACTAAGCAATAAGTGTATCCAAGTAAGTTTTTAGCATTTTTATTATGAAGCAGAGAAGTTTCTAATGGACATGTTTTTCTGTTTTACAATGTGCTTTGTTGGGTGAGAACTAAAGGAACTAAAGATACACAAATGATCCCTTAAAAGTGGTATAATAATATTGTTTCCAACTTTTTTCCGTTGGGCATAATTCATTTCCCTTTGTTTATCCCAATGTTTTACAATTTCATATTTTTTCAACATTATCAATATCTACACAGGTGTTGGAAAAGGTTTCCCCCACCCCCCACCCCCCACCCCCGAGCTCTTTGGGGCATTTAAGGAACTAAGCTTAGTGAGAAAGGTTATTCATGCTCAATGTCAGGAGGTATATTTGAAGAAATCATTTTAGTATATGTGCTGCCAAAGCAAGCACTATTTGAAAAAATCATAATGAAATTGAGACTTGCAAGTTTATATTTTTTAGAAATAATATTAAGTATTTTTTAATGTTAAGCATTGGTTTAACGTGTTTTACAATGGAATTTTCAATCTTCTATTCTTAGAGAAAACAACTTAATTAGTATATGGAATAATGGAAGAGGAATTCCTGTTGTTGAGCACAAAGTCGAGAAGGTGTATGTCCCAGCTCTCATATTTGGTCAGCTCTTAACTTCTAGTAACTATGACGATGAAGAAAAAAAAGTAACAGGTAGAGTATTGAGGGAAATGAACATACTTATTGCTGAAAATGCACATCTTTTAAATGACTATCTACAGCCAGGCATGGTGGTACACACCTGTAGTCCCAGCACTTGGGAGGCTGAAGCAGGAGGATTCCTGCAAGTTAGAGGCCAGCCTAGGCTACATAATGAGTTCAAGGCCAGCCTGAACTGCATAGCAAGATCCTATCTCCAATAAATAAATATCTGGCATGAGGATTGAGAATAAGAGAATAACCCTCTATAATTGAAGTAACTTTACCATGACTAAAAAATAAAGCTGTCAGTGAAATTATAATAAAATAATGCTTTATATTTGTTTGCCCAGGTGGACGAAATGGCTATGGAGCCAAACTGTGTAACATATTCAGTACCAAATTCACTGTGGAAACAGCCAGTAAAGAGTACAAGAAAATGTTCAAACAGGCAAGTAAATAGGTCTCTTGTGTCTTGATTATAAATTGTGTATAGCCATTTATAATGACATTAATGGTCGGTTTAATTTAACACAAGTTATTAAGTCGCAGAATGTTACTCTTGGCATACACTAGTTACTGTTCAGGGCTGATCATTTAGTTCCCATTTATGAAGTGAGTTTTTCATGTTTTCTATTCTTTACTTCCATAGACATGGATGGATAACATGGGGAGGGCTGGTGAGATGGAACTCAAGCCCTTTAGTGGAGAGGATTATACGTGTATCACTTTCCAGCCTGATTTGTCTAAGTTTAAAATGCAAAGCCTGGACAAAGACATTGTTGCACTGATGGTGAGAAGAGCATATGATATTGCGGGCTCCACTAAGGACGTCAAAGTCTTCCTTAATGGAAATAAGTTACCAGTGAGTATTTTCTTGGTTAAAGACATGAGGGAATTTGTGATCATTGTCAAATGCAGAACTGATTTTTTTTCCTTCCAGTTTTTTCCTTATCATTTCCCTAGATATGTTTCTTTTTTTCTTTTCTTTTTTGGTCTTTTTGAGGCAGGGTCTCACTATGCAGTTCAGGCCGGCCCTCAGCTCACTTTGTAACTCAGGCTGACCTCAAACTTGCGACGATCCTCCTACTTCAGCCTCCCAAATGCTGGGATTACAGGCGTGCGCCACCATGCTTGGCTTTATGCCTTTCTTTAATGACCATTCTCTTAGCCTGTTAGTGAACATTATATCATTAGTTTTGAAAAATCCTCATAGTCTATCATGACTCTACTTCTTACAGATTTTTAAAATACCATCACCTTTAATTCTTTTATAGGTAAAAGGATTCCGTAGCTATGTGGATATGTATTTAAAGGATAAGTTAGATGAAACTGGGAATCCACTGAAAGTAATACATGAACAAGTAAACCACAGATGGGAGGTGTGCTTAACAATGAGTGAAAAAGGCTTCCAGCAGATTAGCTTCGTCAATAGCATTGCTACTTCCAAGGTAATTTTACAAGCGTTAGTCTTGTTTTTAATATATATAATAGACAAATACTTGGCGACCTTGGCATAAAGAAGCTAAATACATTTTAAATGTCTGATTATTACTGCAGTTATGAGGGTACCGAGGCTGACAGTTACGCTTCCTTCTCAGGGTGGCAGACATGTTGATTATGTGGCTGATCAGATTGTGACCAAACTTGTTGATGTAGTAAAGAAGAAGAACAAGGGTGGTGTTGCAGTCAAAGCACATCAGGTATGGTATTGTAGCACTTTTTCTTTTTCTAAAGTCAAAGCAGAAGAAACACTATAAATAAAGCATGAAGGATGTTTTAGTGACTTTGTATCAACAACTCTCATTGCAGGTGAAAAATCACATGTGGATTTTTGTGAATGCCTTAATTGAAAACCCAACCTTTGACTCTCAGACAAAAGAAAACATGACTTTACAAGTCAAGAGCTTCGGATCAACATGCCAATTAAGTGAAAAATTCATCAAAGCTGTGAGTACTTCAAGGGAAATAAAAATAGAAGCACCTATTTTCCAGTGCCCTTCTGAGCTCTGCAGAAATAGATTTCCTCCCACACTACAAGTTTCCCCAATCTGAAAAGGAAGTAAAAAATAGCTTTTTATTTCTAATCTTACCAAGGCCTTTTTATCCCACCAGTATGCCTATATTTTTCCAAGTACATACAAACTGAATTAGTTACCACCATACTCACTGTCTCACATACAAGGAACTCCCATTCTCCAACAAACTAACATATTTCCTTTCTTAGTTAAAAAAAAAAAAAAAAAAAAAAAAAGAAAGAAAGAAAAAAAGCCAGGCATGGTGGCACACGCCTGTAATCCCAGCACTCGGGAGGCTGAGGCAGGAGGATCGTTGCAAGTTCGAGACCAGCCTGGGTTACAAAGTGAGCTCAAGGCCAGCCT